ACTGGCCACGGTTCTCCGCCCCGGGCCAATGGGGGCGGCGGGAAGGTGCGGGTGAGGGATGAGCTGGCCGCGGCTTCCCGCCGCCCCATTGGCCCGGGGCGGAGAACCGTGGCCAGTGGGGGCCGCGATCGGCCAAACCTGCCGTGTCAGCACGTAAATAAACTGGCCCGGCCCGCTAGGGTGCTTACCTTGGCGAGCCACGTGCCAAACATTGCCGACCCCTGTCTTAGACAAAACTCACTTTTCTGTAACTTAGCTTGTGAGGAGACTCTGAAAATGGACATGAATGCAGAATATGTTCCTGTCCTCCAGGGCAGGAACCATCTTTCACTTTGTGTTTTGTACAATGTCAAGCATACTGTCAATACTTAACAAGTAGTGAACAATAATAGTATTTCTGCAATAATATCAGACATTGAGGATGGAAACAGTAACAAGCCCTGATTCAGAAAAGCATTTAAGCACATGCTTAAATCCATAACTACTCAGAACAGCACTTGGGTGCTTGGGATTTAAGCACATGCTTGAAGTTGATTTTGAATCATTTCAACATTGAGGGTATATCTGCATGGGAACAAAAAACCTGCGGCTGGCCTGGGGTTGAAAAATTGCTGTATAAACATTTGGGCTTGTGCTGGAACCTGAGCTGTGGGACCCTGCGAGTTTGAGAACTGCGGCACAAGACTCAGCAATGATCAGTGTCAGCTTTTCACTTTTGGGCCAGATCATCCCCTTCCCCAGCAATATTTGTGGAAGTTGGTCTGGGTAGCTGGAGAGTGAGAAATCCATGAGGATCCAGGCCCTTGCAAAGCTTTTCTAGGAAGCTGTAAATGGGGCAGATGTTGCTCCCTGCACAATGCCAGTGGTTCCATGCAGAAAAACCAAAGAAGTCACCACTTTCCATGTCCTCTCTGTCAGTTGGAGACACAGCGTCAGTGAATCCCCAACAGCAGCTACCCTTGAAGAGTCCCTTTTAGATGGTTTCCTCCACTGTTAAGTGAGAGGAGGAGCACAAAATAGTTAAATGCAACCCAAAATGTAGTTGACACTTTTGAGAACATAGCCAATATATCTTGCCCACGATCACAGCAAGTCAGCAACCTGAGAATTCTAACTCGCAGTCCAAAGTGCAGTGCACAAGGTCAAACAGTGTGCCTAATGAATCACAAAACCACTGTGCCAACCAGAAAAGTTTGCTGTTTGCACTGATACAGCCAGGAGATCACATTTAAAATGAAAGACTGGAGCTGGAGCTTATTGTTCAGTGATGATACACTGCTATTAGGCCCTCTGAAAAATACCTACTTGGTGTTTGGGTACGTCTGCTAGACAACTGGGACCAAACAGAGTAAAAGCCAGTATGTTTTCTAAGACCGTTTACAGCAAGAAATGGCTGATCATAATGCTGGAGATTGAGAAACATTTTGACTGGGGTAATTCAAAGGCGCCCAGTTTTACAGTCTGTTTAGTTGCACCACTTAAACTCAAGGGGCATTAGCTGTCAGGAAAGCAAGCAAGCAGGACTCTTTGCAGGTTTGCTGGCCTTCTACTTCCAGCACAGCCTTCTCAGCTTTCCTTTTGAATTGGAGTTAACTGGCCCTGTTACTCAGAGATGTTTGTGTTGTGTCTATGTGTAAATATTTTAAAATACCCTGTTCATTCCGATGCTCACATCTCAGCTCTATTCTCCTGGCAATAGCACCTCACGTGTAGTCCAAGCAGCAGATGCAAAGTCCCCAAGCTTTAAAATAAAAATCAGAAACAGGGATTATTAGAGAAACGGTCTTGGTGTGTGACACAGGTGTATTCAAGTTCACAGATTACAACTACTGATCTGATAATAATTAGTTTAATTTTCACAGGGAGTCAGACTTGCCTGGCATTGTGTCCATGGCCAGCAATGTACATTCTGAGGTGCTGGGTGTGAGAGTTAAAACCAGTGGTGCAATATAGCGGTATGGTACACCAGTACCACCAGCACCAGTAAGATATTTATAGCCGGTACACCGTACAGAAAGACACAGAAGGAGCAGGACGTGGGGTCACTGGGCGGCTCGACATTGGCAGCGCCTCCGGTGTGACTGTACCGCCCCCCAGCCCACCCCCAGCCCTTCCATGCAGCTGCATCTCCTCTCTGTACACCAGTCCCGCTGGAGGACAGGGCTGGAGGCGGGACTAGGGGCAGTACAGCCACGCCAGAGGAGCTGCCAGTGTGGTTCCGCTGCGGTTCTGGAGAGCCCTGTGGTTCAGAAGTCTCCGACGCAGTGGAGGAGGACAGAGCCTGCCCCACAGGTAATGTGGGATGGATCATGGCGAGGGGACAGGGAGAGCGCGGAGGCCCCAGGCTGGGGGCAGGGAGGACTCACGTGGGGGGTCCCCCCTTTATGTCCCTCCCATGAGTGCAGCATACTGGTAAGAAATGAAATCTACTTGCACCACCTGGTTAAAACTCATACAAATTAGCCAGTCAGCTGCAGGAATAGAAGTATAAAACCCATTAACACTTGATCCTTTCACACCAAGAGGGACTTCGGTTAAATCAGTGTCAAGAAGTTGAATATTTTTTACTTTGATTTTAAAAGGATATTTTTTCTTACTACAGTTCCCTCTGAGGCTACCCAAACATAAATCTGCCATTCTTTGGATGGTTAACAATAGATAACCTCAGTCCTTGCATTCAGAGGAAATATACTTATGAAAAAGAATTCCAGAATGATAGGAAAAAACAAAAGAAGCCAAAAAAAAAACAAAATAGAACCAATGCGCACCATTATTTTGCCTCAGTCATTCTGGTCTTATTCTGCACTGCTGGAATTCCGTCTAAAATTTCCTTCATTTAACTTGCTTCTACTGGTGTTTGACAACTACTTCCACTGAAGTTTTCCTTACTGACTGTACTGTAACACACTTAGGAATGGATCCAGAGGTGAATCAAAGACTTTGTCTACACTAAGCAGGTTTGGCAATGAATCTATGTCAGCAAAACCCTATAATGTAGATAGATACAGTTCTATTGGTATAAAAGTGCCTATGCCAGTATAGCTTTTTGCAGGTCAGGCTGACTTTCCAATGCATTTTAATGACACAGGGATTTGCCTGTTACTCAGTGTCTAATAGGAATAAAGTTATTTACAGGTTTATTAAGAGATAAACATTTTTGGATCTTAAATTTCTTGTGTGCAGGAAGTTGGTCCAAAGTGTGGAAGAGGGAGGGTATCAGTCATAGAGAGCACTTTAGAACTAGAATTTTTCTATGGCCCTAGGTTGTGTAACATGTCTCAGTTGTTGACTAAACTTTGGCCATGAAGTATGAAGGGTTTGGGTTTTTTTGCTAGTGAGTAACAGGGAATCATCTGATTAAACCTACTTAATATATTTTTGTTTGTTTGTTGGTATCCTTTCATCTGCGAGAGATGGTGGGAATTGCAGCCTATGATGCACAAGCGACCAGCGAGCTTTTGCGAACAGGGGCTGCCAACAGGGAGTTTCGCAAGGGAGTTTGGAAAGAGAGTGGGAAGGGAGCGAGGGTCCCTTGCCGGTTCTATCTGTTTTCCCTTTATTCCCCTTAAAACCTATAAACCAACTACATTCAAAACTTCTTGCTTAAACAACCCTTGCAGCGGACAGGGGGCTGCAGACAGGGGAGTTTGAGAGGAAGTTTGACAGAGGGAGGCTTATGATGGTTAGGAAGACCCGCAACACCTGTGCCAGCACTGCTTCTGTCTCCTCCACTTGCACCTGTAGCCAGACAGAGCGCCTGAGCATGGATGCTTCTACCCAGATCCTGGTGTGGTTTTGCAGAGACTGTAACTTGCCATTTCCACTTACTGATATCCAGGCTGGGGGGACCATCCAATGTGAAAGGTGCCTGCTGGTGGAATCTCTCAGGCAGCA